TATATATATATATATATATATATATATTATATACTTACACATGTATATAGTGCTGGTCTTGAACACCTCAAACTCACATTAACAACACCATGCATGTACGTGTTATTGACAGTGCAGTCGCACACATATCCATACCAACATATGGAATACGCGTGCAAAGTATAACACCCCCCCCCATATGTTCTATTAGTACGTGATAAAGAGCAGCAATCCGTTCTCAAAAGTAGTATTTAGTCCTCAATAGTTCATGATAAAGAGCAGCATTGCGTTTTTAATAGTACATGATAAGCAGCAACACGTTCTTGTCAGCACATGATAATGCGTAGCACTGTATTCTCAATTGTACAAGATAAAGAGTAGCACTACATTGTCAATAGTTCACGATAAAAAGTAGCATTATATCCTCAATGGCACAAGACAGAGAGCAGCATTACGTCTTCAACAGTAGTACTTAGTCCTCAATAGTTCATGATAAAGAGCAGCATTACGTTCTCAATACCTGCGTTAGTTGCGAGAGCGCTTCTGCCCACGTCCATTTCGCCCAGCATGCGTTTGTCCACCGATCGTTCTGCGTACCCGATGTCGTTGATGGTAAAGTTGATGACGAGCTTGTTGTACTCAGAGTCCGGGAAGAAGTGGTCCACATATGTGAACATGCCTATATCTCTACCACTGTGGGATGGCGGGTAGGGGGTTTGAGAATAGGTTAGGAATATATAGAGATGCATAGTTTTGTCTATATTTCTGTGGCATGAGTACAGTTGATCACAGTCAGTTATTTTGGTTAGGCTAAAGATATGCGAGTCCGACTATGTATCTACCAATGGGATCGGATGATATACGCGCATTTGAGATAATGCGGAATGTAGATGAGCAAGACTGAATGCCTACGACTGTGTTTGATGGTCGTTTTGAGAGCGGTTTCGCGGAATTCTTGTGTGCAAATGAGCAAGCTCGAATCTTTAGCGTTGTCGCATAGAATAGCCAAGGTTAAATACAGGTTGTGCGTAGTGAACACGCCTCTATCTATACCACTGTGGCATGCGTGTAATCTATCGACTTTAAAACTATCGATTGCCGGGCTGACAAATCACAAGTATATACTACCGTGAAATATATTCATTTGCGACCGTGGATAAAATGTAATCATTTGGCGACGCTTTCTTCATCACTTAATGGTTAAATAATCGAGGATTGAGAGCTCGTATGCCCGCAGAATTCAATGGCACCGGGAGTCCTTTAAAGAAGGCGTATGAAATCAGTTAAGTCATTCGGATGTGTACGAGTTATGCGAAACTATGTGTCAGTCGTTTTTATCCTTTTACTTTCGGATCTAGTGCGATCACTTTTGCTAGCTCAGAGAGTATATTTCACAGTCGCGGGCTGTGGCGATATTTGCAATACCAGTTGGATCGCCTAGACTACAAGTAGGGGCCCAGACGTACAAGCCCCACAGATATCATTCGCGCACCATACATATATCACTGTACATAAACTTTTACACCGAGTGTTAATGTACCTTGTTTCCACCATTACATTCATTCGTTCTCTCTGCGCTGCCTTGACAAACACGACCCCGATCATCTCCGCCAGGGTCCGTCCTCTTGTGAAGATCATGTCCTTGAACTGAGCATACAAGTGGACATCCTTGATCTCATATAGCGTCTTAAAGTCTTTATTGGCGGCCTGTGAGGTGGCGAAAAATAGAGTGTAAAAAACTTAAGTCACGATTCAAGAACGCTATTCATAAAATGAAGTACGGCTAAGGGCCAAGACACTCGAGCTGCCTAGATATGGCGAATAAATGTGATTCGAGGGTATATAAACGGGATATAGATCTTACTTGATACTATGTATTTTCCTTCTAATAACGCACCGTAGCGATGATATAATCAAGCTGTCTGAAGAAGCTATTGCCACCCACAGGTAGATCGTTGGCATCACCACTAAATTGCCCATTGAGTGCCTCGGCCAGTACTTCTCTGAACCAAGGCTCGTAGATGGTCGATGTTTTCCTGATACCGTTCACACCTGAAAAGGTAGAAACTCCGAGTTAGTGCCGACTACGCCGAGTTAAAGCCGACTACGCCGGCTATGCATACTGATCAATGGAATGGGGTCTATTTTCTTGATACTGTCGAGAACCACGGGACGAACTGCTCTTGGTCGAAAACGCTGGGAGATGGTAGAGCAAGCATGTATGTAATAAATAGACTGGCTTCCGCCCATAGCTGTACTACTGTGTTGCAGATACATTCGCTATATATGTGACATTTCTACGTGGAAGATAACCTACACTGCCTAATTGACCTTCCCTCTGATCACACACTGAGTCATATCCAGGCATTCTATCGCCTCTACTGCCCCCTGATCCTTGGAGGTCTACTATCCACCATCGGACCATAAGTGACTGAATCTCATCTATCTTGACTTGCTAGAGATGTCTTAAAGTCAGTAGACTACACGAAATTGTAATAACTCACCTCGGCCAGGCCCCAACAACAACAACGTTCAACACAGAGCTTAAAACCCACTCTAGTATGTACATATGCAAGTATGTGCTTAATGATGCTCAGACTCTACGTTGTTAAAGGGATGCGCGTCGAAGAAAGCGAACTTGCAAACCCATTGGGTCTCAGTGCTGCCATATACGAGTACATTCAAGACCACGTATGCTATACCAATGACTCGTATTGTATAAGCGCAAGCCACACACACTGGGGTATATATACGTTCAGGTGTAGGTGCGCACGTACATTAAACAATTCAACCATAATAACTTTCGCTGCCTACTGTTGCACAGTCCAAACGTACAGAATATGACACGAACATGAAGAAACTTCGATAGCACATACCTGTAACTAATACAACCCAAGGTTTCTGAGAAGCCGGCCTACCGGCGGCGGCTGCTGCTGCACTATCCCAATGTCCACCCTCCAAGACTCGCTGGAATAATTGTTGGAAACACGAATCTTTAACATCTGGTAGTAAAGCCGCCAGTTCTTCTCCCGCAGCTATTTAAATGCGACAATGAAGAAAACGAATTCATTGTAAAGTCAGAATGTATTAAACAGAGTGACTGTTTATCTTATATCGTCGATAAGTGTTTCTCGGACACGGCCTGGCTAGGACGATAATAGATGCATGAGCTCCAACAACAACCGAGGGAATCAATAAGAATGCGCTGTGAGAGAGTGGCACATTTTGAGATCACTATGGCGATAAATGGAAGCGATGCACATCGTCTTATTACGGCTTATTTCGTAAAAAGATCGAAGGTGGCTTGTTGCAGGAATCATATAGTTTTCTCAGATCGCTGCAGTTTTCCAAGATTTAAAAGACTTTTAACAGGCGAAAACGCCTGTGTCACTCAACAATAAAAGTATATCGAGCATACGTCCGAGCAATAATTAAGCAAGAAGCACTTCAAACAAGTTGAATCTATAAATCAAGTGCCTGTAAAAATCAGTTTTGAAAAATTTAATCTCGGAACTCCAAACAGACAAACCTTCCGTTTTGTCCCACTCCTTGTGTGTTATGTGGGCGGACTTTGCTATCAGCGCGCGTAGAGCACTCCAGTCGAGCTTTTCGGACTCAGATGAAGATAAAACACTGCTGAACGAGTCTATCGCTCGTTGTAGTTCAGAACTCGAGTATGGAATATTTTTACTGGCATTGGAACGTGTCTCCAAGATGAGCGCGGTCAAGGTGGTTTCTGGAGATATAGGAATTCATTATATTCAGAACGTGTGCTTTGGAGAAAAGAAAGTTGATTGGATATATAATTTTGGACACAAATGTACAATCTGTGAAAACTAGCAGCCATATATGGCGTGAGACACTAGTGTATAAATATAGCTGATTTTTGTGTGTGTACACACATGAAGCTCCACCGCTCACTGCGTTTTAAGTCACACCTCGCCAATTACAACTAGCCAGGAGTGAAACCAGTGCTATGATATATAGTTCAAAATGGTATCTTCGTATACGTTTGTATATTTTATACGCTTGAAAATATGTATTATGCAATCATATACATTAATTCATGACGATGTATATACAAGTATATATGAATGAGCGTATATATGAATGAGCGAATCAAACCAAAAGCAAACACACATTTACCATGTTCACAAAGACACAATATAAATAGATA